GTCTACGTATAGCCTCCCGACTTGGCGCCTGTGTGTTGGAGTTTTCCCAGGTAGATGAGAGGGTGGGTGGCTTCCTTGTGCTTTTGGGTGGGGGTGGGGGATGGGCTCTGACTGTTATTTGTGCCTATGCACCAAATGGCAGTTCAGAGTATCCGGCATTCTTGGAGTCATTGGCAGGGGTGCTGGAATGTGCGCCAGCTGGGAACTCCTTTACTCTGCTGGGGGACTTCATTGCCAACGTGGGAAATGACAGTGTGACCTGGAAGGGCGTGTTTGGGAGGAAGTGTGACGTTTTGCCCTTGTATTCCACCGTTTTAGTTTAGTTTTCTTGTTTCAGTCCTGTAATGCCTGTCACCCTTCTTCAGCTCCTGCCTCTCTACACCACGCCTCCTCTGCTCAGTCACTCATCCGCGCTCATTAGTTCCACCTGTCCTGCTCCCTTTTTAAGCTCAGCTCCTCTCTCACTCAGTGCCAGATTCTTGAACCTGTTTAGTAGTAGAAATTCAGCATTCTCAGTCTTGTCTCTCACCTGGCCACAAATCCTTACCTGCTTCTTGACTCATCGCCTTGCCTGCCCCTTTTTGGATTTGTTCAGATCATCTGACCATGATATTTGACTCTGCACTTTTCCCCTTTGGACCACGATCACAGATTTGGCCCTAGCTCCTGATCTCCGCTTCCCCGTTCTGGACCCACCTTTGCCTGGATCACAATCTCCTCAATCTGTTCTGCTGTAGCAGTTCACTCTACATGAGTAACATCACCGGCTCCAGCATGACAAAAGCTCCTGTCTCGCCATCAAGACAGAAGGTTGTAAACCATAGTACCTTTCTGAACCTCCCCAGTCAGATCAAGATCACTAACACTTCTGTCTTGACAGATTGGACCCGGCCCAGGACCCAGACCTCCACCAGAGATTGTTTTATAAAAATAAACTCTTTAAAAACTGCTCTTGGACTTGGTGTTGTGCTGATCCAAAACTGTTTCTTGTCAGGAAGGGTCTCTCTGATCTGAACTCAAGCTGTGTTCTGTTGTTGGACTTCTGTGCTAGTCATAGTCTGTCCATTACAAACACCACGTTTGAATATAAAGGAGTCCATAAATGTGTAGTGAACTTGACCTGATGTCAAAACTTGACCTTAGGATCATATGGTCAGAAACTGTCATTTCATTGATTTGCATCCAGAAATACAGGTTGACCCATCCATCAGGTCAAGTTCACTACAAATGTACCTGGCATCAAGGCACCCTAGTTTGCAGATCTATGATAGACTTTGCAGCCATGTCATCTGATTTGTAGCCATTTGTTTTGGACACTCGGGTAAAGAGAGGAGCTGAGCTGTCAATTGATCACAACCTGGTAGTGAGTTATGGTGGGGGAAGATGCCGGACAGAACCGGTAAACTCAAACATGTAGTGAGGGTTTGCTGGGAATGCCTGGTAGAAGAACCTGTCAGTGAGATCGGCAACTCACACATCTGGGAGAGCTTTAACCGCATCCCAGCTGAGGCGGGGGGCGTTTAATGCCCCTTTGCCATTAGCAACGGACATATTTTTTATTAAACTTTGTAATCAATTACATGGGGCACTATATAATGTAATCAGTGCCAGTAATAAACAAAGTAACCCAACATAAACAATGAAGAATAATAATTAATCAAAGAATGCTTTAATTATTTTATCTAAGACAAATCTGACTCTTTGAGCAGAAATTATTTCAGTTTTATATGTGCATGTATTTAAACAACTTTGACTATTTTAATAAATAGTTTACTTTGGATTTTGGTTGAAATAAATTGTTTAATCTGATCAGATAAAGTCATTGATTATCACTGCAAGCCAGGAAATGATTTACCAAATTGCATCAGCTAAAACAGCATAACCAGACCAAGGCATCGTGTCACCAGGTTCTGCTCCTTACCGGGTCAGTGTTGAGAGCACCAGGTCACTCGTCTTTCTGAGGTTCGCTGGTGGATCAGACCAGAATACACCATAAGGAGGACTTGCCAGGAACTGCCCAAGGTTGCTGACCGTGACAGCTTGAGGGGTCTGTGAGGGCAACAGCTGATGAAGAGGTGCACCGTCCATCGGCACCTTCTGCCAGTTTGGACTTCAAGCCAAGAACGTGAGTCTTGCAGTGAGAAAGGCTTCATCTTCTGTAGTTATTTAACTTTTAACAAGTGGAATTGAGCAACATGTTTATCCGCTCAGGAATTGAATGCATGGACCTTGGGACGACCACCAGCATGGGTCCAAAGACAAACTGCCTTCTGATTCGGGGCCGGAGACGATATCTCTGGTTCGGGGGTCCAAAACGAACTGCTTTTCACACAAAGCGACTTTGTGCAAAACAACAGCTCTGAGAAGATTGTTTTGACTGACTAGGGAACTTTGTGGCTCCCCTCTGAAGAAAACAGCTTCCAGCTCAAAGAACACTCACGACAGGTGTCTCTGAAGGAATAATCACTTTCTGAAAACAGGAAAAAGAAATATATTATTCACATTGTAAATTTCACATGATTTCATTATGATTGAAAACAACAATCAAAATTATTCATGTTCACACTCAATCAAATAAAACAAACTTCATTAATGATTCGTTTTTCTTTCTTAGAAACAAGAAGAAATAAGATAAACATTAGTCAGACTGTAGCTGACTCTGTGCCCAAGGACGAGAAATGTGTAGAAAAACATCAGACATTATTGAAGTCAGGGGTAACTTTAAAGAACACAATTCATGGTGAGTCTGAAAGATGAATAAGGGTCAGGGGTCATAGTTAGAGCAGTGCAGCTTCATGCTTCATTGCCGAGGTAGTTAAAAAGCTCCGAGGTAGCAGGACTCAAGGAGTGGATGAGATTCACCCTAATTTACTTAATGCTCTGGATGTTGTAGGGCGGTCTTGGTTGACACAACTTTGCAACGTCACATGGACATCAGGGGCAGTGCCACTGGATTGGCAGGGTAGTGGTTCCCCTTTTCAAAATGGGGGACCAGAGGGTGTGCTCCATTTATAGGGGCATCACTCTCCTTAGCCTCCCTGGTAAGGTCTGTTCAGGGGTACTAGTGAAGCAAGTTGGACTGCTGGTCGATCCTCAGATCCAGGAGGAACAACGCGGGTTCTGTCTTGGCTGTGGAACACTGGATCAGCTCTTTACCCTCACTAGGGTCCTCGAGGGGTCACGGGAGTTTGCCCATCCAGGCTACATGTGTTTTGTGGACTTGTAGAAGGCTTTCGACCATGTTCCTTCAGGTATACTGTGGGGGGTGTTCTGTGAGTATGGGATTTGGAGCCCGTTGCTACGGGCTGTTCTGTTCGGTCCCTATAAAAGGGTGCGAGAGTTTGGCTCGCATTGCCGGTAGTAAATCGGACCCCTTTTGGGTGGGAGTTGGACTCCGCCAGGGCTGCCCGTTGTCACCGATTCTGTTCATAACTTTTATGGACAGAATTTATCAGTGCAGTCAGGGAGAAGAGGGATTCCAGTTCGGTGGCCTTAGGATTCCTTTTCTGCTCTTTGCAGATGATGTGGTCCTGTTGGCGTCATCGTGCCGGGATCTTCAGCTCTCACTAGAGCGGTTCACAGCAGAGTGTGAAGCAGCAAGAATGAGAATAAGCACTTCCAAATCTGAGGCCATGGTCCTCAATCATAAAAGGGTGGATTATTCTCTTTGGGTAGAGGGTAAGGTTATGCTTCAAATAGAAGAGTTGAAGTATCTTGGGACTTTGTTCACGAGTGACAGAAGAATGAAGGGTTGACAGATGGATTGGTGCAGTATCTGCAGTATTGCAGACTCTGTTCTGGTCCGTTGTGGTGAAGAGGGAGCTGAGCTATAAGGCAAAATTATCTGTTGACGAGTCAGTCTACGTTCCTACCCTCACCTATGGTTACAAACTCTGGGTAGTGACTGAAATAATGAGATCACAGATATAGGTGGTTGAAATGAGTTTCCTCCACAGGGTAGCTGGACTCTCCCTTAAGCCTCCAGTGTACTTGGGTGGACCCTTTTCCGTGCAGATTCGACGTGCACTGTCTGCAGAGGTTTGAGACCATACTCGAATATCCATCATGAGCAGCTGCAGACCAGATCCGCAGGCCTTTGCTGACACGCCTACACGCCGAGAGTCTCTCGGTTGGCCTGGGAATGCCTTGGAATCTTCCCAGAAGAGCTGGAAGAGGTGGCTCTGGAAAGAGATGTCTGGGCCTCCCTGCTCAAGCTGCTGCACCTACGACCCGACTTTGGAACAAGCAGAAGATAATGGGTGGATGGATGGATATATTTTTTTCTGATATACTGTATACAACATACCTACACTGACATTGACTTTTTTAATAGTTGACAGCAAACTCCTTTAGTCAGTTTGTAAATATGCTTCTACTGTTGTCTCAGACCATGCTTTGGTCTTCATGAATGTTTATTTCCAAAAATGTACTAATGCAAGACACAGGGGGCTGTGGTAGTTTGGTGGTCAGTGCAGTGGCCATGTAAATCTGAGGTTGCAAGTTCAAGCCCAGGTTGGGTCAAGAAGGACATCTGAAATAAAACGATTGCCAAATCTTTAATGCGTTCGCTCCCTGCAGCGACCCCTCTGGAAGGAATCAGCTGAATAAAACATGACAACTAATGCAAAACACCCAAGGCGACTTGACACAAATCTACTTTTAGATAATAACTTTGTCTCTAAATGATTTAATCGTTTTCTTTCAGGTTAGTAATACTCCAGAAGTCCCAATCTCACTGTTGTGGGAAGAAATGACAAATTTTATAAGCAGGGAGAATATTTTCATATATTTTCATATATTAGAGAAGAGAGAAACCAGCCAGGTTATCTGAGCGCACTGTGTTTTTAGATGTTCCATACACAACAAGCTGAACATGATCTCATCACAGCACAGCTCACCACTGAACTTTTACTCAATTCAGGACTCATATTTTATGAACAATGGTATATGACAAATAAATTGCTGGTTCATAGTCCTCAACAAATACTGTATCTGGCCTTTACTCTGCTGTGCTGTGAGTTTGACATCTGAAATAATTATAGATTGTTTTGCTTTCATAAGAGTGATTTTACCTCAACTATGTGAACTATTCCCAGGTGAGGCTCTTCGGGTGAGGAATACTCTCTCTCCATGAACACCAGGGTCATCTGATTTCCCTACAGGGCAGAAAAATCCAGCAGATTCTGGTAAACACGACAGCACATGGAGCAACTGGAGAATAAAAATAATCTGTATCGAACCTGTCCTAGCAAAGAAGGATCAACATTTTGTTGCACATTTTGAAAATGTCATCAAACTAGAAGAGTGGTGATTGCTGCATAACTGCTGAAATTTTCAGAAGATGCTGAAACTGAGATGTTAAAACTAAAAGAAGCAGAACACTAGCTAAAAGTAGCAAACAGTACCTACAAGCTAAAAAAAAGCAAAAGGATGGCTACAAGTTGCAAAATCTAAACATAAAAAATGAGTAGATAAATGTTAAACGCAGCAAAAGACTAGCTTAATATATCGAAAAGTTAGATATATGCTAAAAATAACAAAATGCTAGCTAAATCTAAAAGTAGCATATAAAAACTAAAGCAAAGTTAGTGTGCTAAAGTAGCTTTTAAAGAGAACAATGCTTTAAAGGAACTGAAGAGAACTCAATGTATTTCTATGGGGAAATATTTGTAAATAGAATGTATTATTTTGAACAGTCTAAAAAAGTCTTTGTTTACAAAAAACAAATGACATGGCACCTATGTCCTAAATGTGCTGAACGTTTTGATAAATGAATGCTAAAAGAGCACAAAGAATGCATTAGAAGTTTGATAGTTACAATATATAACATAAACTATAAATAAGAAAACAGTAGTGTGAATGTTGACTCAGCATTGTATGCTGCTGCCCGTGTGTGTATGTGCGGGCACTTTAGATATTAAACTGGATTGTTATTATAATTTCTGAAAGTGTGTTTTGCACCTTCAGAATGATATCAGGCCTGGAAGCTTCTGCCGGCAGAGGCAGAGAATCTCCTCTCATAGTCTGGGTATGAAGACGATACCTCAGATAACCTCCATAAGAAAAGACCTGCAGACACAAACACATGATAAATTAAAAACAGGACAAACAAGGAAGAAATATGAAGAAACTAAAAACCTAGCATCCTTAAAGGAAAGCAAACAACCCCCATCACTTTCATGCCAGAGTTTTAGATTAAGATCATCCTATGAAAAGAAAAGATGGAATTGTAGTTGTTCTGGTCAAATTCTGGGGGGGAAAAACAATCTCATGCAGACCAACATTTTTCAGTCAGGTCATCTGGACAGTTCCTAGATTGAAAAAAATGATTTAGAAACTGTCCAGATGACCTGACTGAAAAATGTTGGATTGTATACCTGGATTATTGAGCATGGACATTATTGATCAAATCAGAACAGTTAAATGAGTTATAACCCTTTTTGTATTAGCTAAGTTTGGCTATGGTTTGGACATGTCCAAAGGAGAGACGGTGGTTTGGACATGTCCAAAGGAGAGACGGTGGTTTGGACATGTCCAAAGGAGAGACAGTGGTTTGGACATGTCCAGAGGAGGGACAGTGGTTTGGACATGTCCAGAGGAGGGACAGTGGTTTGGACATGTCCAGAGGAGGGACAGTGGTTTGGACATGTCCAGAGGAAGGATAGTGGTGTTAGATATTTTTTATCTAGACTGGTCCTGGGGCTTTGATCTGCTCAGAGACAGGATTATAATGAAATTATGACCCGGTTCTGACTGGGTTAAACTGGGCCAGCAACTCTAAAAAGAGTCTTCCTGGGATTCAATATCTGTCAAGTAATAGAGTTTAATCTGCTTGCCACATCACGTAGAAAGGCTTTTGGAGCACCGTCTCATATTTTCCTAACACATCAAAACCACATAAGATCCATTGAGATCACACTTAGTCACGCCCCCTCATACACTGATAGGTTGAGCTCCCCTTCTGCGAAGGCGGAATCTAGGCCCTATAAATCAGTAATGACACGGGACATCTGCTCTTCCGGTTTGTGATCGCATCACAGACCGGAGAGACCAGCGCTGTAAACTGTAACCTTTTCCTGCCTTAATTTGAATACAATTGGTAAAAATGAATTCACGTTTCCTTGATTTATTGTTAGTGTGAGTTGCCACTTCTGAGGGAGATTCGAACCAGGGGAAGCGACGTGGGCTGGAGGCGGGTTTCCGGGTCCGGTGGCCCGCAGCCAGCTCCCGTCATAACAGTCGTTTGGACATGTCCAGAGGAGGGACAGTGGGTATATTGGTAGAAGGATGTTAGAAATGCAACTGCCAAAAAAAAAGACAAAGAGGAGATACATGGATGCAGTTAGAGAGGACATGGAGGTAGTTGGAGTGAGGACAGAAGACAAAGTGAGATGGAGGAGGATGGCTTGCTGTGGCAACCCCTGAAGAGGGAAAAGCAGAAAGAAGAAGAACAAAGGGTCCTTAGGGGTCATTTTGACCCAAGGAAATGCAGGAGGATAAATATAAATTGTGCATAAATAAAACCTTGAACAAAATTAAAGGCCTAAAATTCCCTAAAGGAATGCATATCACTCATTGTTATCCATACCAAACTGAAATCGTTCTTAAGATGATAAGGAATAACTTTAGAGTTGTTTTGGTCAATTCTTGGAAATTATGCACAATGTCAAAAGATGCTAAGATGTTGTGTTTGGATCATGTGTTGTGAACAACTTTCAGTTACTACTACACAAAATTCAACCAGATTTTCTGTACAATTGGCAGAATTATAGCCATTATTTGTTTGCTACAGCAAGCTCGTGGCAGCCATCTTGAATTGATTTCACCCCCAAAATTTAACTATTTGAAGATGTATGGCCAATTATTACTTTTTGAAAGTTGTAACTTAATACATACACACACAGTGGACAATAAAAACACTGAATTCAAAGTCGTTAATATTACTCAAAGTATGAAATTTTCATAGAGCCAAGACAGACTGAATTGAGGATCCACAACTTCTCCTCCTCCACCATAACCCTGAGCACTGGCTCCCCTCAGGGATGTGTGTTCAGCCCTCTGCTGTTTACTCTGCTCACGTATGATTGTGCACCTACCCATCCAGGCTGTCATATTGTAAAGTTTGCAGATGATACAGCGGTGGTGGGATGCATCACAAACAATGAAGGTAAATGGTAAATGGACTGTACTTATATAGCACCTTTCCATCTTATTTCAAGATACTCAAAGCACTTTACAACAATTTGTGCCTCATTTACCCATTCATACAACACTCTACTAGATCTATACAAAGCTAAATTGAACAAATCATTCAATGCTGAGTCCAGCAACAGGCAGGAGGTGGAACACGTGGAGAGCAGGTGCAAAGAGAATAACCTTCACATCAATGTGAAGAAGACAAAGGAGATGGTTGTGGACTTCAGAAGGAACAAACACACCTACCCTACCACAACCAACCCCCCCACCCCCCAAAAAAACAAAAAACATAAGAGGATCTGTGGTGGAAGTGGTCTCCAGCTACAAGTACTTGGGTGTACACCTGAATGACAACCTCAGCTGGGGCAACAACACCACCAGCCTGAACAAGAAAGCTCATCAGAGACTCTACTTCCTCAGGCAGCTGAGACGAGCTGGTCTGTGAAGCTCAGTCCTCACCTCCTTCTACAGGTGTGCAGCGGAGAGCATCCTGTGCTCCAGCATCAACGTGTGGCATGGAGGCTGCACAACTGCAGAAAGAAAAGCTTTGCAGAGAGTGCTGAAAGCTGCACAGAAGATGTTTGCCTTTACGATGGCTTGGTTCGTGCCTTGAGTACCCAGACTCAAATGCTTTGGGCAGAATGGATCAGATCTTGGGGACTTTACTCAGTCACGTTCCATCGGGGTGGCCATGTAATTTGGACATTTCTGAACCGTTTGGACCAACACAAACTCAGGGTAGATGTCATTAAGTTCTGTCTGTCCCCAAAACAACTGTGCGTTTATCTGAATTTGGCTCCCTTGGCTGGCCTTGAAGGTCATCTTATCTGAATTTGTCTGGAGAACATGTGATCTGACGCTCATCGCCCCCTCCGTGAGGAATTTTCAACTGATAACCAGAAGAATCCAGCTGAATAAACATTGTGTCATTTCAGGACTCTTGGATTCTCATAGTCGTTAAACTTGGCCATTCCTCGACATACCTCGAGAATGTTTATGGATCTCACCGGAAGACATTGACTGATTATTACATCCTTATCAGAACTCCTACAGTGCCCCCGAGAGCATCTATGATCATATTCACCACTTTTGTCGTCTCCCCCCTCTGCAGAATGTCTACGTCACTATGTGCTTGTTTGTGCGAGGTGTTTTTTAATATTAGAGGTTTTTTCCCTCAGGCAGGAAATAAAAAGTCTGATAGGAATCTTTTTGCCTCAAACTTCTACATGTGTCCAGGTTACCACTTTTATTGTCTGTCCAAACAGGTCTCACTTGTAAATGAGTCTTTGAGGCTCAATGTGATTTATCTGTTTAAATAAAGGTTGAATGAATGAATGAATGAATGTTTGAGTCAGCCTCCCCACCATCACAGACATCTACACCTCCAGATGCAGGAAGAGGGTCACTTGCATCATGAAGAACCCCACTCACCCAGCACACACATTTTTTGCCCTGCTCCCCTCAGGAAGGAGGTTGAGAAGCATTAAGTGTAGAACCACTAGACTGAGGAACAGCTTCTACCTTGAAGCTGTTAAGACTCATGAATCTCTAACCAGAATATTCAATGTGAAAAACCACATCATGTTGCTGCTGATCTGTTTCATGTTGCTGCTGATCTGTTTTATGTTGCTACTGATCTGTTTCATGTTGCTGCTGATCTGTTTCATGTTGCTGCTGATCTGTGTCATGTTGTTGTGTTCATTCATGCTCATCTGCTCACACAGACTCATGTTCGTGCTGCTGTTCAGTGTAATGTTTTAATGCTATTAGTGCTTAGCATATTTTTAATTAATATTTTTCTTAGTTATTGACAATCCATGATGAGCACAGAAGTCCAACAACAGAACACCACTCTGGTTCAGATCAGGGGGGCCGTTCCTCCCAACCACATCCCTCCAGGTCTCACCGTCATTGCCCACATGAGCATTGAAGTCCCCCAGCAGAACAAGGGAGTCCCCAGAAGGTGCACTTTCCAGTACTCCCTCCAAGGACTCCAGAAAGGGTGGATAATCTGAACTGCCGTTTGGTGCGTAAGCACAAACGACAGTCAGAACCCGTCCCCCCACACGTAGGCAGAGGGAGGCCACCCTTTCATTCACCGGGGTGAACCCCAATACACAGGCACCAACTTGGGAGGCAATAAGTACGCCCACGCCTGCTCGGCACCTGTCACCAGGGGGAACTCCAGAGTGGAAGAGTGTCCAGCCCCTCTCAAGGAAACTGGTTCCAGAGCCCGAGCCATGCGTAGAGGTGAGTCAGACTATTTCTAGGTGGAACCTCTCAGCCTCACATACCAGCTCAGGCTCCTTCCCCACCAGTGAGGTGACATTCCACGTCCCAATAGCCAGCTTCTGTAGTCGAGGATCAGACCGCCAGGGTCCCCGCCCTCTGCCACCACCCATCCCAAATTGCACCCGACCCCTTTGGCCCCTCTCACAGGTGGTGAGCCCATGGGAAGGGGGACCCACGTCTCCTCTTCAGGCTGTGCCCGGCCGAGCTCCATGGGTAAAAGCCCGGCCACCAGGCGTTCGCCCGCATGTCCCACCTCCAGGCCTGGCTCCAGAGTGGGGCCCTGGTGACCCACGTCCAGGCAAGGGAACACTAGGTCCATTTATTTAAGTCATCATCGGGATCTTTGGGCTGCACTTTGTCTGGTCCCTCACCTAGGACCTGTCTGCCATGGGTGACCCTACTAGGGGCATAAAGCCCCTGACATCATAGCTCCTAGGGTCATTGGGACACTCAAACCACTCCACCACGGTAAGGTGGCAGCCCAGGGAGGGTTATTGTCAATAACGAACACCTTGTTCAAGCATAAGGGTGTCCATATGTGCTCTTGGCACCAGGACACCCTAGGCCGTAGTTCGATGATC